ATGGTGGAAAAAGACACATTGCGGACTTCCATGCCAATTCCTCTTAATAAGGTTATCTTTAGTAAGAATGACTCCACGACGAAGATACCATGCGAAGATTTTATTCTTAAGCGGTATCTTCATCTTCTAGATCTTCTTCGTTATTATCAACTGGCACATCAGACTCGATTAATGCTCTATATATAGACTCCACTGAGAATTGTCCATTCCCATGTAGGTTCCATCGGAATACATCGGACCCATGTGAAAATTGTACCGTGGACAACCGCTGGAGCAGGATGTTCCACGATTGTAGTATGGGTCCAAATAAATCCCTTCTGAATGTCATATTTGGCGGAAATGATTCCATTACCGTGGTGATAGTATCACTCTTGTGACGCACAATATTGTATAGAGCCAGATATTGTTCCCGGAGAGTGACATTTCCTAGCCACTTATCCTCCCAAAATCTAATTTCTGAGCCATGCTTAATCGAGAAAGATCCATAGCAGAAAAAAAATTCTTCGTTGCTATTAGACCCGCCCAAAAGTGAGAATCCCCAGACTTCCAATATACTTGGGAGCCCACATATTTCCGTCTGAGGAGGGTTTGCCATACACCATCTTTCGTCGGTAATTTAAACAACCATTTACCGAGTAGGTACCTATTCTTAACCTTACACTACAGGAATCAGCTTCTTTGCCATCTGCCATGGCGGACGGCAAAGACACGGCCGGCGGATGGCAAACAGCTCCGGCAAAGACAGGGTCGGCAAACACCTTCTTTGCCGTCTGCTTTTTGCAGCGGACGGCAAAGAGGCCTTTGCCGTCAGTGGCGGACGACAAAGAAGGTGGACGGCAAATAGTAGGTGTTAGCCACGTTAGGTGCTAACGGAGGTAACAGAGGCTTTGTCGTCTGTCGATTAATAACAGATGGCAAAAAATGTCAATCTACACGTTTATTAAAATCAGAGACATCAAAGGATTTTGTTTATTAAAATATAGTGAACCAGCAGCTCAAGTGCACCACAGTATCCATCTAAGCTTTGTTCCAACAATCGACGACAAATGAACAAATTTCACAATACCAAATTAGTCTATTTACACAGAATAGGTTTGCATCTGCTCCATCTACACAAAATTACTCCATTTACATGAACAGCGTGGTGACCCGGAAGAACAAGTGCCTGGCGAACGTGAGCTCGCTCCTCATCCTCGCAACCGTCCCGGCCTCGACGTCCAGATCGATGGCGGTCCTTGCTCTTCCAGGGCGCCTCGACGACAAGCTAGAGGCTAGCGTGGCAGGAGTCATCGTTGACGGCCACGAAGGCCATGGTGCCACCGCACTAGACGCGGCCGGCCCGGACCCAGCCGCCCACGACCACACGCTCGCCGGCGAGGGCGTCTGTGGCGGCCTGGATTGCACGGATGGGCGTGCGAGGCGCGGCCTTCGGGGGCTACAGGTGGTCAGCGGCCATCGGGAGCTCAGCCGTCGGTGCTGTTGCTGCCATCGGGGGCGATGGGGCACGGATTCCGCTGGGGGCGACGGGCGATGGGGCACGGAGGCCGCTGGGGGGACGAGCGAGGGGGCCGGGCCGGGGCCGGCGGGCAAGATGGCGGCCAGCGAGGCCGAGGCCGACCGGCGAGATGGCGGCCAGCGAGGTGGGGGCCGGCCGGTGAGGTGGTGGCGAGCGCCGGCGGGCCTACGAGGGTGACGGGGGAAGTGGTCGGGGGCGACGGAGCTGGGGGTGAAGGCGGAAGTGGCCGCGGCCGGCAGGCGATGTGGTGGCCGTCGAGGACGGGGCCGGGGCGGTGGCGGGTAGGTGAGATCGGGAGCAGGGAGAGAGATGAGAGAGAGACGTGGTGGGGTGGGTGAGATCGGGAGCAGGAAGAGAGATGAGAGAGAAGTGGTGGGTGGGTGAGACTGATGGATAAGGCAGGCAGTGGGGGCGTGGGGCGCGCGGGTGTTGCCTTGGGGGCGCGTGCATCGTGGGTGTGTGGGGTATGCGTCCGACAGAACGTGTGTCTGAGATCTTGCCAACTCATCGATCCAGGTGATTGATCCGCGAGCTGTGCTTTCTCTTTGCCGTGAGTGTTTCTTTGCCGTGTGCCTTTGGAACCTTTGCCGTCCGCTTCAGCCAGCCCGTCTGGATTAACCAGCCGCAGGGTCCAGTGGGCCCCAGTTGGGCTCTTTGCCGTCTGCCTTCTGAAGCTTTGCCGTCCGCTGGCCGACGGCAAAGAAATGGCAGATGGCAAACAATATATTTGCCATCAGCCAGTTTTTTGCCGTCTGCTTTTTAAAAGCAGACGGCAAAGACCCTCTTTGCCGTCTGCTAGCAGACGGCAAAGAATAAGTTGATGGCAAATTCCCTGATTCCTGTAGTGTTAAGGTCATGAATGCCCAACCCGTCTTGGTCTTTGGGATAGCAAACCACACTCCATTTTTAGAGAAAATACCAACCAAGTGATCTATAGGTAGCCTTCAATTTAATCTCACTAAAATCGGGATGCGACTAACATTGTACCATGCAAATGAAGTTGAAGACACTGTTCCTCACATTATATGGAAATATCATAAACGCATCAAGTAGATCTTAGTTTGAACCGGATAATTATTTCGATCATTGCTCTCTATGTACACATTGTTCTATTTGATTTTTTTATCAACTTGCATCGTAAGTGAAGTGAATTTCAATTAATTCTCCATTATTATGGGCAATTATTTTTATACATTTTAAATTTGGCATGCATTATATTTACATATGCAACCGGCAAAAAAAAATCCACAGCCGATGGCAACGCACGGGCATTCTACTAGCATCACAAAGGAAAGACCAATGAATGCAATCGTAGGCCTTCTCCCAACTTTTGGTCTAATGGGACAAAACTGATTAAAAATGCTTATATGGGATACTCCCAATCAAAATGACAAAAGAAGGGGTAAACACGAAATTTACTCACTAAGTATGTGTGGTAGGATACATGTTCAATTCCCATGGAGATAAATAAATCATCTTATTCCTTTGCCGCTCGTACCTCAAGGAATAGCTTTGGTGTATCCTGTGGTTGAAGAGAGAAATATTTCTCAGAAGCTGCTGTTAAGGGGTTGAAACTACTTCGATTTCATTGCATTGCCCGGCCTGCCTTCGCTTTGTGGAGCCGAGGAGAAGATCAATTGACTTCGTCGTACTGTATCTACAACTGGATAATTGATTTGCCGAGGAATATTTAATTGATTTGAGCCGTGCCCTTGTTGGAAAGAAAGGAGGTTCTAGGTGAATACTTTGTTTCATAAACTGTATTATATCTAATCTAATGCGGGTATTTTGTTGTTCTTTTTAGAAACTGAGGTAGGTATGTTTGGTTCTAGTCCAAGCTGGCGCTACTGATTATTTGGCCACCAAATTTTTTGGTTAAGCTTTTAATTGTTTGTGTGTTGGCTAACAATTGCAAGAAAAATGCACTATAGAGTCGGTGTCATGCCAAAACAAATTGAAAACCATCCAAAGAGAAACCAAATTTTTGTTCATGACCGAAGAATTGGTAGGGTGAGCTCTGGTCACCATCCAAACATACCCACATTCCCAGGAATCGGGAAACTCGGATCTTAGACTATTACGGTTTTGGAAAATTTGTGCTGCCAAATTAGGCCAAACTGGTACCCAAGGCCTAGTGGGTTGGTCCATACATTCTAGCGGATGTATCTCTCTTTTTTAGAAATTGCCCCTGCTCACTTTATTTAAGCATGCTAGATATTGCGGGCATTCACTCTCACCATCTAAGTTTCGGTGAAAACCACGTGGAAATGACGTTTTGAATTTTCAAAAAGATCTAAAAAAAACGAGGCCTTAAGAGTGTGATGTTCTATTAGTATGTGAAATTTCCAAGTTCAAATACATTACCATTTACGAGGTACGAAAACAACAAAAGCAGCAATGAATACCAAAAACATATAGTGTCAAACAGTAAGCATCAATATTCATGGCTGAATTTGTTTTTGCCATCGCTTGTAAATGGTAATGTGTTTGAACTTGAAATTTCACATGCCAATAGAACATCACCTTCTTAATAACACATATTTTTTTCAAACTTTGGTAAGTGGTTTCCACGAAGTTTTCTTTGAAATTTGGTTTCCATGTGATATTCTCTCCCCAATACATTACATCTAGTAGAACATTTTCCCCTTTTTTGGAGCAAAGGTATATCTCCATTCCGTGCCAAAGAGGATTCTCTATCCATTCCAGGAAAAGGGAACATATGATTGGAGAGAAAGAATCTAATAAACCCAATACTTCTTTTAGAAGAAACACGCAAAACGTGCCCAACTTTAAACTAATAAAGACATGAGATTCTAACAGCAAAGTAAAAGAAAAAAGTATCAACATGTTACAACCCAGTGCACATTCATCTAGCAGAAGTGTAGAAATAAAGCAAAGTACTGAGGCACGCGGCCAGCGAAGATTAGTCTGACGGTTGTCTTCTGTTGATGTAGTGGATCAACTTAATGTTGCTCAACACCGTGCTTGTCATCGCACTGTCCTTCCACTGTCCTAGAGGCAACCACAACTGCAAGAAAATAAACCAATTGAAAATGTAGTCAGTGGGGTGTTTCGGGAGGACACCTTCGATTGAGAGCTTGTTATGGAAATTCCTTATCTAATGACCTAACAATAACAATGCAAGGATGGGAGGGTCGTTGTAAGGTGCTTACCTCCATGCCGGTGCCGGAGAGGAGGTCGACAAGACGAAGAAAGATAAGGACACCAAGGGGACGACATGAGAAGGTGACATTTTGAACATTGACATGGGTCTTCAAAATATAACTTAACTGCTAGTTTGTACTGCAGTGTATGTGCAAGGATCAACACAATTATGTTATTCTAAAAGCACTTTTTCCAAGAAAATCTGTGCATATGATTTTCATGTTTCAAATCTAACTACTTTTGAAACAAAAAATAATTTGTATATGCACTGTCACTGTCATCAGGTTTTGGTCTTGAGCTTCCTATAGGTTGCTTATAACTATCTGTTGTTATTGTCAGTCTTGCTCCTGAACTTCCTATGCGCCTTGAGGTCGACCACAAGGACGGTGATGTTGTCCTTGCTCCCCTTCTGGAGGGCGAGCTTGGATAGGTACTCGGCGGCCGCCTGAGCGGCGGGATCCGGCGAGCCACCATCGCCGCCGCTTCGTCCTCGGGAGATGGACGAGGAGGCGGTAGCGTTCTTCTTGTGCCACAGTAGGATTCGCTTGCGAGCGGCGTCGCACACCTCCTCGTTCGACAACACGTCCCAGAGGCCATCGCTTGCGAGGATGAGGCACTCATCCTCTCTCGCGCGGGCAACGACCGTCACCTCAGGGACCGGGATTATGTACGGTTTCAGGTATCTGTCCCCTGCAAGTAGATCAACAACACAATCATAACCAGGAATCCAGTTCAGAAGTTCAGTCACATCACTCGGTCAGTCACTGAATAATTTGTTGAGGGAAAGACCATACAAGCATGGGAATATGATCCATTCCTTAGTAAGCTAGCATGACTACACCCTGCTACTTGTGCAGTCTTAGTAATCATCAGTTTGTGGTGTGTGAGCAGTATTTGTTATCTATGCTAGCCCACTTTTTTAAAGACCATCACACAAATGATCACTAACTTTACTATGTCAAAAATTAGTATCAGTCATGAAACTTTTGCCAGCAATTCAGATATCACCAACAATTACTATGTCAAAAATTCAGATATCACCAACAATTTTCCCAAGAACAGAGAAGAACTAGTGCAGTGCAGAGCAAAGGATTTTCCTTGACAACGTTACTAGAAACTCGCTACCTAAAGTTAAACGTTGACCTCAATGAGATTGGAGGTACACAGTACATAACTTTGCTCTGAAATATTCAGGAGCGGAAAATAAAATTGCGTACCGATGGAGCGCGACATGGCAAGAACACCGAGAACTCGATAGCCATTCCACTGGATGACCTTGCCGCCCAGCGCCTCGATCCTCGCGTACTCGTCTTCCCTGTTGGGCTGAATCGAGAATAAATGCAACATTCAGACAGTGTATCTGATGAACTCAAGCACTCAGAGGCAATTGCAGGGGTAATGAGCAAATGTGATGAAAATGGTGATGTTGCCTTATGGTCTAAAGAGAGTGGCAATGGCGCCTTGCCCCGGCACAGCACCGCCCGCGAGTCCCCGCAGTTGGAGACGATGATGTGGGACGAGCAGACGACTGCGGCCACCGCCGTCGAGCCCGCGCTGTCCGGCGCCTCGACCTCGGCGTCCACGCGGCAGAAGCAGTCCACGAACGCCTTCTCCCACTGTTTCTTGGAGTCCAGGGAGCTGAGGTCGTCGCAGCCGCCGACACGGTCCTCTGCGGCGCGCAGCTCTTCAACAAGCGTGGCGTGGAGCTTGTCCCGGCAGTAGTCGGCGACCTGGGCACCGCCGTGGCCGTCGTAGACGGCGAAGAAGTGTGCGGGGAGGCGGAAGGAGGCGCGGTCGAGGCCGTCGACCGCAGCGCCGTCGCCGGCGACCATCCAGAGCGGGACGCGGTAGAATCGCGGGGCGACGGCGGCGGCGTCCTCCATCTCCGGGCGGCGGCCGCATACAGACTCGAGCCCCCAGAGCGGCGGCGAGTCGAGGGCGAAGACGCTCCTGCAGGCGCCGCCGGGGACCGTGGCGGCCTCGGCGGCGGCCGCGGGCAGGTCGTCGGAGAGGAGCGAGGGCGGGCCCGCGTCGGCGCCGGAGGGGGAGAAGAGGCCCTCGAAGTCGGCAGAGGCGACGCTGCTGCAGTCGCTGGCGACGGAGCAGGGGCTCCCGCACGCGTCGTCCGGCCCGGCGTCGGCGTCGGCGTCGGCGAGGGCGAGCCGCGGCAGCGCGGCGCCTAGGGCGTCCATGGCGACGAGCGCGCGGGTCCAAGAATAAGCCTAAGCCTAAGGGAGGGCCATGGCGGTGGTAGTGGGTAGGAGGAGGAGGCGGCCGTGGACTGGAGCTGCTGCTGCTGGGTAGTCATGGATGGAGTTGGAGACGGCGATGGCGACGGAGGCAAGGGGGAGAAGGGAGTGAGTGGTTGGAGGTGGGTGGGTGCGCGGGCATGGGCACGGGAGCTGCCCTGGGGACGAAGCAAGGCGATGCCGATGGACGGCCGGCCGGCGGCTCACAGCCTCGGGTCGCGTGGTCGCATCTCGACCGCCCGCCGCCCACCGCCCGGCGGCACCGTCTGCTCGTTTTTTTTCGTGTGTGTGCATTTTTTCTACACTGGTAAAACAAAGAGGACTCTTTTTTTTTTCTTTTTTCTCTTTTGTAATTTCTGTGTCACATCTCGCCAATCTCACTGGACGCGGCCGGCCTTCGGTTTCTTTTTCTTTTCTTTTTCTGTGTTTTCTTTCCGGTTTTCTAATTACTTTTCTATGAATTAGATATTTTTGAGGGCTTTTTCTATCTATCAATTAATTATTCCGATCTGCTGAGTTCATTAACTCCGATCGGATGGAGTAGTGTTCTCTTTTTTTGCTTTTTGTTTATATCACTGAAAAAAATATACCTTTTTATAAACTCCTTGAACACATTAAAATTTTGCCAAAATCAACTGTGAACAATTTCTTAATTCATTATTAAAAAACAATGACATTTTTAACCTTATTTAGATTTTATAATTCATGCTTTTTCAAAATCATGGACTTTTTTAAAAGCCATGAGCATTTTTTAAATCCATGAAAAATCCAAACTCATGGGCATTCTGAAATATATGGATAGTTAAAAATTTGGTGAACAACTTTTGAGTTCACAGACATTTTTATATTCATGAACTTTTTTAACAAATTTGTGGCTTTTTAAATAAAAATATGATATTTTTCACATTTTCTAAACATTAAAAAACCAGATCCACTTTTTAACATGAGCGAGCGCGCGTACATCGACCACGGTGGTGCTAGCATCGTGCAAGCGCTAGCAACGGCTCAGACGCCTGCGGAGCCCTCTTTAACGGGCGCGCCTATGTCTTGCTGTTAGCAAGATGTAGGGTGCGCTCGCATCAGACGCCTCACTAAATAGACTGGCCCGGCACGCTGGAAGCCACTGTCGTTTTTATGTACGTTTTCTGTTTGTCTAAAAAAATGTACATTTTCTGTTTTCGCCTTTTGCCTTTTATTTTATTTTATTTTTAAAAGTTCAAATATTACAAATATATATTACAAAAACACTTTACATAAATCATTTGAATTTTTTTAACTAAGCATATGAAAAATGTTTAATGTCTATAGGGAAAATCTTTGTCATGCATACGAAAAATGTATACAAGAAAAATACAATGTATATGAAAAAGGTTCATCATGTATTCAGAAAATAATAACCAAGCATTTCAAAAAACATTAATCAAGTATTTGAAAATTAATGATCAAGCTTTGGATAAATGTTAAACGTGTACAGAAAAATGTTTGTCATGTATGCGGAAAATACATACAAAAAATACTATGTTTATGAGAAAAATGTTGATCGTGTATTTAAAAAACATATTAACTTGTATAAAACAAATGTTCCTGATGTATACCAAAAATTTACAACATATATGGAAATTTTTTGATTATCCATTTAGAAAATGTTAAAAAAATATGTAAAAAAACTCTTATGTATATGAATATGGACCGTGTAAGCCTGGATGGAAATGGGCCATGTAAGCTACTAAAAATGTAAAAAGTAGCTGCTTGGGTGTTACTAAAAAAACACCCAGGCAGCTACTGTGAGCGACAGAGTGAGCGAAAAATGGATGAAAATGGGCCGTGCTGATATTGTAGCATGCAGGGAAAAGCTTCAGGCGAGACGGTATGTAGTCTTGCTATAAGCGACATATAACTCGCACGCTCCTTGATGCTCTATGCCTTGAATAAACA